CAAGCAAGCAAGCAAGCAAGCAAGCAAGCAAGCAAGCAAGCAAGCAAGCAAGCAAGCAAGCAAGCAAGCAAGCAAGCGAGCACGCGAGCAAGCGAGCAAGCGAGCAAGCGAGCAAGCGAGCAAGCGAGCAAGCCAGCGAGCGAGCGAGCGAGCAAGCCAGCGAGCGAGCGAGCGAGCAAGGCCAAACACACACGCTGCCAAAACATGCGCAACTATTAAAACAACTCAGCCCAACTGCCTCCAACGACTCTATCAAAAACAAAGCCCGGCTAAATTCTCAGGGACCTGTTCTGAAAACGGTGAGGGATTACCGTCATTTCAACGCCAAAAAACAGTGATTCACGAGTGACTCAACTTCCAAAACTGGGAGCCTCCTTCTGCTTGACCCGCATCACGAAGTAGAAATAATCTTCTCGAAGCGATGGCAAGAAGGGCGTCATCCTTGCTCTCTCCTGAAAGCAACCATTACAAGTGGAAAACAAATTTCGTCAAAGGTCACTACACATGAACACCAAAAGAAACCGCCGCAAAACACGCTCACTGTTTTGAGCGGGGTGGCCGAGACCTCCTGCCGCCCTTGACCTGGAGGCTCCCAGACCAAGGTTCTCCCAAACTCTGTCAACAGGTCCATCGTGAAAAATGTTTGCCCTCTTCTGATCTTCTCTTTTTCCCGAGAGCGTCTGCGAAGGGTTCTTCGTAAAAAACATCTGCAGAACTACGTCTCATCTACATCTTCACATCTTCACCTCTGCACATCTACATTGTCACCTATATCTCTGCTCATCATCACATGAGGTAGGAAAAAACATGGTACGAAAATCATGATCCCAACAGCAAACCGTATGATTTACAAGCGGTGGTCTTCATATGTGGTGATGGCGGCAACCATGGTAGTGGCAGTAGTAGTACCAAAATCAAAAAACACAGCAGCAGCAGCAGCAGTCGGAGGAGTAGGAGTAGGAGTAGGAGTAGGAGCAGGAGCAGGAGCAGGAGTAGGAGTAGTAGTAGTAGTAGTAGTAGTAGTAGTAGTAGTACTAGTAGTAGCAGTAGTAGTAGTAGCAGTAGTAGTACTAGTTGTAGTACTAGTTGTAGCAGCAGCAGCAGCAGTAGTAGCAGTGGCAGCAGCAGCAACATCAGCAGCAGTAGTAGTAGTAGTAGAAGTAGTCAGTAGTAGTGGTCATTCTGACTGAAATGCGGACGTCGTTCAGAGGTGGTTCATAGGTCGTTTATTCGCCGAGAATTCCGGCTACATACTGTCCATCGAAAGTGAGCAGCAGCAGCAGCAGCAGGAGTAGGAGTAGGAGTAGGAGTAGTAGTAGTAGTCGTAGTAGTAGTAGTAGTAGTAGTGGGAGTAGGAGTAGCAGTAGCAGTAGCAGCAGCAGCAGCAGCCGCCGCAGCAGCCGCAGCCGCAGCCACAGCAGCAGCAGCAGCAGCCGCCGCAGCGGCAGCCGCAGCGGCCACATTGGGAACTGAGAAACGGTCAGGGAAGGGGGAGTTGAACCCGTGGAGGGGGGGTATATCCCTGATATATCACGGGTTCGGACTCAGGTCCTGGACTCCCATCCCTCCTTGCTAAAGCAAGACAGACTCCAGCAAGCTACAGCTAGTTCATCCACCATTTGAGCCCCTTAAAACTTTGAGGTTTCAATGAACTGTGCAATAGTAGCTCAAGTATGCTCAAGTTCTTAACATTATTGAGATTTTTGCAAACTGCGGGAGCATGATGCTACTACTTCTTCACAGGTTTTTGATCGATACCTGAGGCTTCAGTCTTTGCTCTAAGACCTCCTCATAATGCCGTGAGAAAACTGCGCTGCAACGCTGCAAAGTGTCAGGAGTGACCCACATGTCAGCGAGACAAAAATCGTAGGTCCCTAAGGCGACATCGTGCACGCATGCAGTGTAGCTGCTTTCTGGAAACCTGACTCGGGACTGTTGCGTTGCAAACCCGGGAGTGACATTCAACTGCATCCCCAAAGCTGGGAGGCCCAAAACCTTCAACAAGAAGTCCATGTAGACGCCTCACTGCATGATCCCCACCGTTCCGTCAATGCATTTCTTACCTCTTTAAAGCAGCTTCACCTCTTTCTTTCTCCTTCCCACTATTTCACGTTACAAATTCACATGTCCTTTGCTCTTTTGTACAATCTGATTCATGGTGATTGGTCCGGCAAGACTCCATCAACGCCGTATTGATTGTCCTCATTCTTGATTACCCAAGGCTGGTATGGAGCGAAAGTGGCTTGCAAAAAACTGCCCGCCACAGTTTCAAAGAGCTTGGTGCTGTCGTTGTAGGTGTTCACATAGCCACAGGTCTCATAACTGAAGAATGCAGACCTGCATCCACAAATCTTTATTCATGAATACATCTGGTCCCACAGCGAAACTCTCAAGGAGGTGTGATACCGTTTCTGCCTACAATTCATTGGTCGAGCTCGTAGAACCTAAAATGAGTGTCACACATGTAAGACCGTATTCAACGCACTCAAGCTACCTTGATTGCTTCCGAGCTACAAATTCAGGGTGCTTGCCATAGTCAGTCTTGTGCGGCAGTGTTCTGAATCGTAGCTTCCAAGCACGCCACCAGCAGCCACACAGGCTGTCTCATTTTGTAGGCAAGCATCCATGTCCACATAGCACCATGATGACTGGCACTCACCTCCCTCCCCCGTTCCGCAGGGAGATGCGCTGTCTGCCTCAGTTGCCGGATAGGCTGCTGAGATCGATAGACCTGGATCCAATCCATATAAAGCAAAAAACATGAACACAAGTAGCGATGCCAGGAGCCCCTAGTACGAGTAGCTTCTCGCTCCTAGTAGTAAGGCCAGGAGCCCCTAGTCGCGTCTTCAACCATATATATAAAACAAACAACATGCACACATGAACATGATGAGCTGCATCGTCATAGGCTCTACAACCTTGGGTCCCGTAATCTCGTTCCATGCCACGCGCAATCAGCTGCTGCTGCAATGATGCGAATCCCGCTGAGCGGCTGCTGATGCACGGGCATTCAAATGAACCTGCACCTTCTGCAAAGCAAAGATCTAAACATGTTGTATAAATGATGCTCAAGAGACATCCGCGAAGCATGGCTGCACTTATTGCCACACACGTCGAATGCTTGAGCACGTCTGCGGACGTCGACGGCGTTTAGCAAACAAAAATAAATCCGTTCAAAACGGGCAAGGGTGGTTCTCTGCAAGTCTTGAGGTGGCCCAATGGGAAAACTGGCCACGTCCGAAAAGTCTATAGCCTGCTCAGTTCTCTCAACAGCGGCAAGCGCCGTTGCTGAATGCAAGAAAAACGTCCCAACAGGTGCCCAACAAGCAAAACCCAAGTTTTAAAGTTCACATATAAGTTCTCACCCTTCAACTCAAAAAAGACTTGCTGACAGCTGCAAACCCTCTTAAAGCCGCCTCCTT